CGCTCTATCCACTGAGCCAAACCGGTTTCGGCATAGGCATGTAATTTGATGAGGCCCTTTTCACATTACATATATTTAGTAGCATAGCCTTTATTTTCCAATAGATTGTTATCCAGGATTATGGCAATTATTCATGAAAATATTTTAAAAAGCTATTTTAAATATATGTTACTTTCTGCCAATCCTACTGAAATAGCCAAGCCTGAAGTCTGAATCTATACACATCTTAAGAAAAATGGTTACACTCAGCAGCAAGTTAATGCAAAACTTACCTTTGTATTAAGAAGAAAGTTTGTGGCCGAAACCGGTTTGGCTCAGTGGATAGAGCATCGGCCTGCGGACTGAAGGGTCGCAGGTTCGATTCCGGTCAAGGGCATGTACCTGGGTTGCGGGCACATCCACAGTGGGAGATGTGCAGGAGGCAGCTGATCGATGTTTCTCTCTCATCAATGTTTCTATCTCTCTATCTTTCTCCCTTCCTCTCTGTAAAAAATCAATAAAATATATTTAAAAAAAGAAGAAGAAGAAGAAAGTTTGTGAGCGTATATTTTAAAAGACAGCTCTAATGTTTAGAAAATTTGGATAAAGAATCATTGAAAGAGGAGAGTTGGAATTAAAGACTAGAAGAAAATATAGCTTAGCTTCTGACTATGTACAGGGTAGGGCAAAAGTAGGTTATAGTTGCAAGTACATGAAACACAGTTTATTCTTATATTATTATTAATTATTGTATTATTTTCCATATGAACAACTGTAAACCTACTTTTGCCCCTCTCTGTATTGAAAAATAACATTATGATTTATTTTAAAAATTATTTATACAATTCCAGTTCATTAGAATTGAGTTATAAATAAGATTATTGAATAAAATTATTTGACTAAAATTTTTATTAGAGAAGTATAAATGGGCATGCCCATGCCCTAAACCTCCAAGAAAGCATATCTATTTCTAAAATAAGTATTGGGACTTTAAAAGCAACATAGACAGGATATAAAATATATGCATATTTTGAAATGGTTACTTCAAATTATCAGAACATTTTGAAAGACTAGTTTTTAAAATGCTATTGCTTAATGTGAATTGCTGTTTGATATTTTTAAGTGGATAATAACTTCTAAAAATTTGAACAAGATATATAATTTAATAATTTTAAAAAATGAAGCAGTCATGATGTGAGCAGGATAATTTTTTTCTTTTTCTTTCAAATAAGATCTAACCTGACCACCTCATTTCATAATGCAATGTTTCACTTTCTCCCGGCACAATCTCTTTTCCCTCTTCTACTTTTTTCTTTTTCCACAAAAGTTTCACTATCTAATATACTTTGGTTTTTACATATTATGTTTACTATTTTTTATATTTTCCCTCATTGCTACATATGATACAAACTTTAAAAAGGCATGAAACCATCTTTGTGTTGTTTTCTGACACACCTTAATCTGCTAGAGCAATACCTGGCATAACAGGTTCTCAAGAAATATTTGTGAATTAATGCATGTATAAGTGAATGAATAAATTTCATCATATAGTATTTTAATAATGGCAGCTACTGTGTTATTGGAAATACTATTGGCTACCAAAGGCTAAACACTGTTTTAAAAATAGCTTTAAACATATGTTTGAAAGATCTTACATAAGTATTTCACTCAATCTTTGCAATAACCTTGTCAATTAGGCATTTTTACCTCATTTTAAAAATGAAACAGTTGAGGGTTGGAGAGATTAAGTGCCTTTCCAGGGTCTCAGAGATGGTAAGTGCCAGGGCTAAAATTTGCACAAAATTCCATGCTTTATAAAAAAGACTTCTGCTGACAGCCTGCTTTAGAACAATTATTTCTTTAGAATTCATGCTAATTTTTATTTCTGACTTCACTATGAAATATTTGAGAGCCCATATTTCTTTATATTCTTACAAGTGGCCTGGTGCACGAAATTTGTGCATATTAAAAGGGAATTAATTAGAGGAAATATTTTAATATTGCTATTTGCCCTTTCTCTATAATAGAAGTGTCAGAGATGAAAGAAAATTAGTAAAATGTATATGGAAATCTTCCTCCTGTCAGAGTCGGGCACGCCGCAGGACCCAGAGTCAAGTCCCTGCCCACCCGCACGCACCTTGAAATCTCGAGAGACCCAGACCCAGCCAGCCCCACCCCCGTCAAGCCCCACAGGGTGGGGGGCGCAGCCTCAGGTCCCCATCAAGCCCCACTGGGCAGGGGGTGCAGCCCCAGGTCCTCCAGCCTGGTGCCAGGGCAGGGGGCATGGCCTCAGGTCCCTTGGCCCCAGAGCAAGGGCACAAAGGTGCGAGGGCATGATGGCTATTTGCATATTAGCTCTTTATTATATAGGATTTTTGAATAGATACTATATTTCCATGGCTGAAATAGAAACTATAAAAAGATAATCAACCGCCGAACCGGTTTGGCTCAGTGGATGGAGCGTTGGCCTGCGGACTCAAGGGTCCCAGGTTCGATTCCGGTCAGGGGCATGTGCCTTGGTTGCGGGCACATCCCCGGTGGGGGGTGTGCAGGAGGCGGCTGATCGATGTTTCTCTCTCATCGATGTTTCTGACTCTCTATCCCTCTCCCTTCTTCTCTGTGGAAATTAATAGAATATATTTTAAAAAGAAAAAAAAAAGATAATCACCTACTGAGGAATCCGACTCCCCTCTTCACTCCCACCCCCATTCCCTCCCATCAACCCTTTGCTCTTTTACAGGTAACTATTTCTATAGGTTTCCACAGTTACTTTATGGAAAACAAGAAAAGAGTATGTTCTTATTTTTTCCCATTTTTTACATATAGGGTAGCTTCCTATAACGAGAGCTGATATTTTCACTGTCAATGGATTTCAATGTGGTGAATACCTTGTTTCTCCTTTAATTTATTTGGGAAAGAAGTTTATATGACTGACATTAATCTTGGACTAATAGCTCTTTTAAATGAGGTAAATCATCCTGTGACATTTGATGGACATTATTAATAATTTAAAATGTCAAAGGAAGTCAACTTATGAAGGTATCAGTAGGGTTCTTACATTAGGTTTACTTTAATATGCACTAATTAAAATGTTTACTGCTCGTATTTTGAAGTTTTAATGATTTTTATAATCTCTCTACAACTTGACACATGAGGTTTTAGAAATTTTGAGTTGAAAAGCTGCATTGGAATGTGGGAGTATTGAAAGATTCGACTTTATTAAGTCTTTGAAGTAATAGCATTAATTTTTTCCCAAGAACATAAACACATTATTTTTTTTCTTCTAAGCACAGAAACCGGGAAATCCATTGTTAAAAATAAAGCCAGATCCTGGATAGCCAAGTTCATTGTTGAAGGCCTGAATCATTATTTCAGCACAGTCTGGGGCAAGGCTGACTTCATGGGCGTGCGGACCTGGGCTCGGCTAGGACCCCCTGCTTAGTTTACCGCCACTGTCTTGAAATTTTTAATAATTTTTGAACAAGGCGATCCATATCTTCATTTTCAATGAGTCTCACAAATTATGTGGACAGCTGCAACATTTTTACTATTTACGGGATGTCACTAGAGTTATGATTTATCTTTGCATTGCTTTCTACATTTAAATTACATTATAAATTGTGTTTACTTTTGACCCTGGCAATATTTTTGCCAGTGGGATTTATCTTCTTTGACAGTTATGTTGTAAATTATTCTCAGTTTCTTCTTAACATATTTAAGTTATAGTTGATTCATAAAATGCTTAAGAAGGAACTCTGTTGGATAATTTCAAATACAGTGTTAGAGGTCTAGTTTTTAGATTGACAAAGAGAGAATCATAGGAATAATCATTCACTTAATTTAACGACCATTTCCTCCAATTAGTTGGCATTTAGTACCTGCTGACATCATTGTAGGTGACGTTAGGTTCTATAAACTCAATTCCAGATGTGTTATAAGAAAAGCTAGATGGCAAAGAACCCACTTTATTGAGTTCCTACAATGCACTAGTCAATGCATGTACAACCAAAAATGAAGAAAATTCCTTACACAAGTTCCCATCAATTTTGGCCTCTTTCTTACCAACAGTGGGGTTGCAGAAACCCGCCACATGGCCCTCACAACAATATAGTGCTACCCAAGTCTCCTGAAAATTGTAGGGATGAGAAGAGATTTTCTTGACACTCCTGGAGGCTGGTCCAGCTGTTTTAGCTTTTGAATGTAACACACTTTCAGTTTTATTGCATAAGAGAAGATCAAGGGTCACATAGACTTATACTAGTAGTTTCAACCTCAAAGAAAAACAGTATTTTTCAGAAGAGAAAAAAGGAGAGATTTTTAGGAAAGTTTATGCTATTATTTCTAGTATTTTATACAACAGGCAAGTGTCAACTTTAGCTGGTATTTGTTGCAGTGCCCATGGTGGATTATAATGAGGATTGCATTAGAGGTTTCAACTCATGAGAACTTCACAGAAATCCAATTCTGTCTGGTTCCCCACCTCCCCTGTCTCCCCCCGCCCCCAAAATATCAAGTCAAAGAACAGGACGCCCAACAGCAGCTGATTTGCTACAACACATATTTGTTCTTCAAGGAGCTAGTAAATGAACCTTCTCAAAGTTTTGGGACTCTGCAGTTCCTTCATGGAAAAGAGAACAAAGAATTGTCTCCCCAAATAAAGCATACAATCATCGTTCTTTTTTCATTAAAATCATGTTTCTTTCATTAGAATGTTTCCCTTTTCAGAACAGGTATTTCTTTCATGCTGGTACGTTCCTGATGTAATTCACCTAAGTGTAGCCTCTGGCCGAAATAATCTTTTAGCAAAGATTACAAGGAGGAGAGATGATAGATGGAGAAAATGGGCAAAGGTGATACACGTTTCTTAATAAGGAATGTGCAGACATGTCAAAGCAAAGCATTTAGCTTTTAGTTCAGTACTCACTTTGAATAAATATATAAATCATGTAGAAAGTCATAAACTTTTTCTGCAAGTACAAATCAAAGAGAAGTTGCTCAAACTGATAAAAAGGTAACAGATGAAATGAACAAAAGATAACCAGTTTATTTACTGGGAAGAGTTATGCATCACACCATATTCAGTTGGTAACATAAACCAAGATATAAGAATTAATATATTGGCTTCAGTTATTTTCTTAGCACTGGAGTATCTTTTCCAACCATTTGAGTGCATGATCAGATTACAGAAATGCAAGCACATATATGGATTCTCCCATGAGGCATTCACTTAGGATTGTCTACAACTTAAAAAAAAAATGAAACAGGACAGCAATGATAAATTAATAGGGAATTTTTTGAATTTAAAATAAATGCATATATTTACTTTGAGAACAAGTTTCCTTTGAAATTTGAATTTTTAAAAATAATTAGCAATAATTATTAAAAATACTTCCTTAGGTCAGCCTTCTAGTCATGTTTTTATATGATATTCTCATTATGTGGAAATGTTTCACATCATTTATCCCGAAAAGGCATAGTAACAAAATTGCAATTAAAGGTGGAAATAGCAGAATAATTACAACAGTAATCATGCTGTGTACAAATCGGGATTGGCCACACATTACACAAATGTTAATGCTGGAAACAAACACAGTATCAGAATCATGTACGGTTCATCCCATATACATAATCATGCAAATAAAAACACTGAGTAGATTATAAAAATGTCACAAAAGATTTTCAAAGAATTGTTTAATTGACTCTAACAGTCAAACCATCCAGTTTAAAAATGTCGTGGCAATGATGTTAAAGTCATTTACTTTCTCTAAGTTTTGGTGCACAATCATACTATGAACCCAAACAACAAAATTATTCATTCTATATTTCCATTATTATCGGCTAATGATTTGTCAACAAAATGATGGAATTTCTCTCTATAGTTCTCTGATCTTTGTTTTAAAAAGACTTTGAAAAAAGAAAAATAGTCACATTAGAACACAGATTTTCTTCTCAGTGTTTTCAACCATAATGATCAGAGACTAATTCTTTAAATAAAGTTAAAATCAGAATGTGCTCTCAACCAATGTTACAAGCAAGTAAACTCCAATCGCAGAAATAACCTGGCTCAGCAGTTTATCCAGGTTTCAGTTTAAAGAGGACAAAATTTAAATAACTCCAGAGGAAAGGAATAAAAATATACTGATTAGAGCCATGCATTTCAATATGGAAAGGAGACCAGATATAAGTAACAATCTCCTTACATTCCTAATGGAGAAATCACAAGAAATGACTTCTATACTGTTCATATTATGAATATGGGAAAGCTTACATGATGTGAAATATCTCATGCAAACATTTTACACGGCATACTTTTATGCACTCATACCCTTACACTAAAGGCAGTTCATTGCTGCTCTTCTTCGTAAGTAGATTATTTCTGGAAATCCTTGATTGAGGAACATATTGTAATACTAAGTATCTTTTTTCAGTTATACTTTGAGTAAAAACTATAGAAGAGATGTCTAGAGGAAACCTTTCAGGTGTTAAATAATAGAATCAGGTTACAAATGAAATACATCAGGAACAATGGCAGTTAACCTGGTATTTAAAATAAGTTGAATTCTATTTCAGACACCACTCATCTGGAGGCATTATTACAGACAATGGAAAAGTTCATTCAGAAGCCAGAGTAGTCTTGTATGTCCACAGAAATTGATTTTAAGGTGGAAATTATGTCAATATCAGCACTCACTATACTACCTATCACTACACCAGTTCAACAGCTTTTTGAAGAATTATGTTCTTCCCTTTATGTGGAAACAGTTTGTGATATTAAATACAAGGACTATTTTAAAAACACTCTGGTTCATAAACAGGTAAGTTATAGGGCAATATTTAAAATCGTGAACTTTTCTCTAAGAGTTCCTTTTGAACCTAGTCCTGCTTTATATCTGCAACATCAGTGCATTTGTGGCAACCTTGGTTGAACCAGCACAGTTGCTTCCTGGAAATCCATGTTTCCCCTGATGTGCCTTTCTGAGAGACAGTTTATGTCTTTTGGCTGATGGAACAGAACAATTATACATTAAACTTGCCATTCTTACCACAGTAGAAAATAGATTTCACTTTTCGTTTTTACATTTTGTAATTACCATTTGAGACTGCAGAGGATTGTATTTAATGCAGAATATCAGGAAATGTCCACATTTATGGTTTATTTGATCGACATTTCATGCTTGTTTGAGACAGAAGGACTATCTCTACATGGATATTTTCTAAAACCTGGGAAAAGCAAATGTTGTAGATTGAAGACTCTTTTAAGAAAAGATAATGTTTGAGAGGCATTTACCCCCTTAAGGGAATGCGAACCTTCTATTTCCAAAGTATTCCTGAGGACATATTTTTTTTTTAGACTGACAATTGAGGCTTTTTATAGTAAAATTACTATATTCTGGATAATTTTAAAGATATGAAATATAGCTGCAAGAAAAAATACCAACAATCTTGTTTTATTTTTTACCAAATATTTTGGAAAAATTAGGATTGCTATTCTACTTTCAAGGAATAAAATATTTTATGGCTAACCAGAGTACTTTATTTTTAAATCTAAAATAAAAGATTAACAGGATTATGAAATCCTAGAATTTTAATACATCATCATAAGATATCTTACCACTTAAGTTAATCCTTACTGGACAATAAATATTTAATTTTGTAAAAACAAATCAACATAATTATCAATTTTGATATTAATTTACCACTGTTAAGAATCTCTTTCCTAGAGCTAATATAAATCCCTCACACTGAAGACTGTTTTTCTTATTCTAGTCTTAATAACAATGTCGATAGCTGCCATCTATCATTGGTTACATTTTCTTGCAGGTCAATAGTCTATGTCTTCCTTAGGCTAAAGTTTAATCTTTCTGAATAGGTCTTCTCTTAATTACTTAATAACTTTGATTTCTCAAAGTTATCCAAATTTCTCTTATTGAAACAGAATTGGATGGAAGGGGTATGATTGGAAAGATTAATCTGAGGGTCCTGTATGCTCCTGGGCCCTCAGGCCAAAGACAAGATATCACCCCTTTTTATTTTACCATTTAACTAAAAACAAATCCTCAGTAAAAAGCATTTCTTCATATTGTCCTTCTCAGTGTGGTAATTGTGCTTACTTTTTAAAAATTACCTGGTTACTCTGCTAACCACACTTGCTAGTTACTTTTAATCTTTGCTCACTGTGTTTGAAATAATTAGCCGGTATTTTTGTATTTCTGTAGTCTTTTCCCGCCACATCTCTCTTCAAGTGGTTTTACTGAGGGTTTTTTTTGTTTTTGTTTTTTCCACTAATACTTCAATTTCAATCATGATATTCTTTACACGTATACTGATTTTTTTTTCATCAGCGCTACACATATTTATTCATTTTAAATAAATATAGATGAGGCTGAGTTCAAACTATGCTAAATGATGCCACAGTGTAAATACATGGAATTCTCTCTTACTGCTTGGGTACTACGACCTAATTTTGTGCCGAAAATTAGAAATTTATTTCCAAGTTTCTATACCTTCTTGGCAAAGTTTTGCTAAAATGAACCTTTTTATAGAATTGATGTTTCAAAATAAATATTTCCCATTCTGTTCATAAAAAGGAACTGAAAAAAAATTAATATAGACTTGATAAAATGTCTATTGTCAGAAAAAAAGTGTTGTCTGTGACCCGGCCTTTCACTGGGGCATAAATACCAAGAAAGATGCAATACTGCACCGTCAGTAGGATGACTGCTCTGTAGTTATACAGAGACAACGCTTACTGCTGAATTCCCTGCACCAGCAACAAAACTGATGAGGCAATACAGAAAGATGTCCTGAGGTGCTTTTTAGATTGGCGTATTTTCCGTCAGGCACAAACAGTTTTTATTGAAAGTCAACTTTGCAGCTATCCCACTTCTCAGGTCCACACACATAATACTTGGAAAAGAAAGAACAAAAAGGAAAAAAGAGAAAGCAGTGGTGAGGAGTAGCTACCTTTAATTGAACTCTGATACAATCCACGCTGTCTCACTAACACTGGTACAGGGCAGATACAACACCAATAAAATGAAGAAGGTGTTCAGGAACAGCAAGGCCATTGCAGGTGGGGGGGAAACAGAAGGCTAGGCTGCCACGATGGAGACTTTATGAAGACTTGTCTCTTTTTCTGTTTCCTTAACCTGAATCTCTATGTATGGTGAAAATTTCTAACGACTTCAAGTTGCATAATAAACGACACTGTTGAAAATAGCACTCCTATATAAGAAATTACAAGCCTCTTGGTTGCTTTGGTAATAGTGACCACAACTTCACAGGTGCATGACTGATGAAAGCTCCTGCACTGTGCTTTATGACTTACCGATCGGCCGCCATCCGCGATGGACCATTCCATCAGTGTTCCACCCACGCCCGCTCAATAGGCTGAGTGGCTCTGACGAGATCTTCATTATTAGAGCCCTGTATTGTTAACCATCTTCTCTGTTAACCGTGAGGATTGTGTTTGTTTTAAAGAGAAGTTACAGATACTGTTACAGGAACAGGTCAAACCGTTATGATTGTAAATAAGTTAAGGCTACCTGACTAGGCAAGGAATCAGGGCTGGGAGCAGTTGTGTGGGCAGCACTTGATAGTTAAGGAGCCCGAGAGTGTTAGGCCTTTCAGCCCAATTAGCTGTTTTCCTTGTGTGTCAGATGATGTGCAAACTAAATTTTGCCATGAAAATCTACTGCCTTAAACCAAGTCATAAGTTACCCAGCAGAATTTGTAAATGAACTAGGAACATGTATGATCTCAGTATGTATAATATGATGGTAGGCACCTGAGTGTTTGTCAAAAGTAGACAATGAGCTAAGGTTTATTATCTATTGTTTTTTTGGCAAGGAAGATTCATTATGAAAAAACTAACAACAACAACACATACAATTTTAATCACTATTTGAACACTTTCTGGGTAAATTCATTAACGGAAGGCGAACTTACATCTATCTATGTATATATTTTCCCCATTTGTATTTGATACCTTTCAGTGGGAAAGACTCATAGGAGGACCCTGAATTTGGGAGAAGTAAAAAGAAAACTCTGGTCATTAAATAAACACACCATTTCCCCCCTATTTTTCAGCCTTCTTTAACATCATCACACACACATATACACACACAAAGGAGCAGCACCAGTGCATCTACTCATCTGCAATTTAAAAAAATTAAAGATGCCGTCCAAAGTTGAATAAGTCAATGAATCATAACATAGTCTCTTTCTTAGATTTACTTAATGTCCAGTGAAGACTTCTAGTTAAAAAAGAAAATCCAGCAGTTAATGAGCTGATTAGAAAGTAAGTGCATAAACAATATCAGTGTAGCAGCAAAATACAGTTGCTGTTAACATTCCGATGCACCTCATTTATCATTTTTTGTGCAAGAAAAATGTCCACAGTCTGGCCCATACCAGATGTCAATCTCTATTGCAACTCATACTTAATGGAGCAAATGATACTTCTTTAAAAATAAATGACTTAAATTCACCTCTTAGAGAAATGATTTCTATAGACATAAACTACGTGGCAAACAAAAGCACAAAATGAATACCAATGGTGAGAAAAGCTGGAATCAATTTCTACAGCCGAATGTGACGTTTGAGGAAGGAAGATTTTACAATATATGTATTTTACATGGTCTTAGGTCTCTCTTACGCTATCGACATAAAGCCAGTCGTCTGAGCTACGTGTCCTGTGTTCTTTGTTCGGTTGATGTTTGTTTTTTATTTCATTGAACTGTGGCCATTTCATTGCAGAAGTTCATCTGTGACTTAGAGAAACCGTAATACGCTGTATCACACGGGAGTCTGGGCTTTGTGTTAATCTTCTCAACTTTCATCTTCCCAAGTGACGGGCATTAATCCCACCACAGCGTCTAACCACCGAGAAGCAAACAGCAGCTGGGCCTTGGGCAGTGTCCTGGGTGAGGCTACAAAACGTTCACCCCAGATGTTCGTCCGCGGGAGGTGCAGAGGGGGGGTCGGGAGGCTTGGAGAGACAGCGGAGCGGGGCGCACTGCGAGCTGGAATGTGGCGGCTCCTCGGGGAGAGCTGTGTCAGGACTGGAAACGAGAGACAAGCGCGTCAGCAAGGAAGGCAGCGACAGGGGCCCGGCGAGGCAGGCACGGGATGTGCACCGAAACGGAAAAAGAAATATGAACAGAAATTCTGCATGGGGAGATGGTTCACATCGAAAGCATGCCTCGACAACCGCCGCTTTTCGAAACCGCTCACGAAACAGAAAAAGGAAACGTGTTAGGGAAACATGGGAACGCTTCCTTGCGATCCCTTCTTTCTCCATTTTCGCACAGTCTCGCTCCCCTCGGTCTCTGGGTTAGGTGCAAGGTTTTTAAAGATCAGTTTGTCTCAGACTTTTATGCGTACTCGGGTCCCTGGGGGAGCTTGGTAAAATGCAGGATCTGCTTCGACAGGTGGGACCTGAGAACCTGCATTTCTGACAAGCATCCGGGGACCAAGGCTTTAGACTGAGGATTCTAAGTCAGTTCTATGGTAGATGCAACAGGATAATTAATCTGCCGCTGGATTGCTAATTTGCTCCAAGGGCTCCCCCTATCTGCTTTAGCTGGGCAGTTTAAATAAGACTAGGGAGTTTTAAATAAAGCCTTTTCTATTTACTAAGTATATAATGCCGACTTCCGCAAGACCTCTCAGAGCCTCTGGTTTAAATAAACTCAGACATGCTCAGGTTCATCAGTACCAAGAGAAATAATCCTAAAGAACAAGGAAGCAAAATTACTGCATTTCCTAAGGTAACACTACAACTCGAATCTGGGTTCAGATTTTTTTGAAATCTAACGGAGGGGAAAAAAAATACCCACTGTGAGGATATTTGTATTATTGAAAGAGATCAGCATTTTCCCATAACTTTGCTTCCCCTCCCCTTATATTATGGAATTCAGTACCATATAATTCATTTCTGACAGGAGTAATATTTGAGAAAACTATTCAAGGTTCATTGTTATTATTACTAGAGGCCCAGTGCACAAAATTTGTGCATGGGTAGGGTCCTTAATGGCTGCCAGCTGCTGGCTGGGGTCTTCCTTTTCCACGCCGCCCCCTGGTGGTCAGTGCATGTTATAGTGAGAGATCAAACTCCCAGTTGGTCAAACTCTTGAGGGGACACTTTGCATATTAGGCTTTTATATATATATATAATTTACTTATTTATACATAGCTTTTGAGCTAATATTATTGAAGTTAGTAAAAAAATGATCATTAAAACAATTTTAATCTTTGGTGCTGAAATGACCCTTCAGGTAGGCCTCAAAATATCAGAATTTTGATACGAAAGCAAAATTACGCCAAATACCCATCTGCTTGAGTCACTCTTACTTCCCAAAGTCTTTGACCTGCCATACATTTAGTTGAAAAGGAGATATGCTCTTCTGTAGAGTTGGGAGCAGCAGTGATAAAAATGATTTTTCCTATTTATTTTAAAAACGTGGTAGGTAAACAGGGGAGAACTGGTTTCAAGAGGACTGGGGGAATATTTCATGGCAAGACTCTCTCTCCCCTCTCCAGACAGTCAGATGGCCCAGGAAACGCCACAGCAGACAGACTTTCCCACAGACCCAACAGAGTTTCTTTCTGTTAAATCTGCATGGTTCAGAATGAGTTTCTTTTCAGGGAACCAAACATGTTCCTCAGCTAATGGCAAGTGGCACAAGGGAAACATGTTGAAGGCCCTGTGTAGTTCAACAGAGAAAGGAAGACAAGCATTTCTGCCTGGCCCGCTGAAGTGTGTAACAACAGCTTACCCACGGGGTCCCACTCACTTGGCCCAACCTTGGCATTAGGTCGCTCATGATCATTTAAAACATGTTTTCAAGGTGAAGGGATTAAAAAGTACAAATTGGAAGTTACAAAATAGTCACAAGGATGTAAAGTGCAGCACAGGGAATACAGACAATAGCATTATAATAACTACGTATGGTGCCAGGTGGGTACTAGACTGATAGGGGGAAATACTTCGTAAATTATAGAAATGTCTAACTATGCTGTATACCTGAAACGAACAGAATATTTAATGTCAACTGTAATTGTAAAATTAGAAAAAATTTAAAATTTTTTTCTATTATTTCAGATTGCTTACAAGGTATGATATTATAAATATCTTGTATTATAGTATTACTATTCTAAATTTGCATGAATCCACTCACACTGCATATATGTGGTAGAAGCATAGTCTTGGTTTACAGAATAAGAAATTATTTCTAAAATGTAAGTATTTGACAGGTTCTAATGATTAGCTATAGGAAAGAGTTCAGTTTCAATTCTGACTGCTAAATATCTTTAGGAGCTCACTCGTTGTTCAGTCTTTACCATTTACAAGTTTAATTTATGTAGGTAAAACCATGTTGTGAACAGTAGGTCTAGGGACTATTACTAAGTACAAAAATAGTCAGAAAGGTTTCTTTTCCCAAGTAAGCAAGTTCTTGGAGAAAAATACAAAATACCAAATATTTCTATGTATTTAAATATTACATCCAACACTGCAATACATTGGGTAACCCTTTCGTATTATGGTTTTTATTATCTACTAGAGGCCCAGTGCACGAAATTCGTGCACTCAGGGGGTGGGAGGGGAGAAGGGTGTCCCTCAGCTCGGCCTGCGCCTTCTTGCAGTCTGGGAGCCCTTGGGGGATGTCTGACTGATGTGGGGAGTGGGCCTAAGCCAGCAGTTGAACACCCTTAGTGCTGCCATGGAGGCGGGAGAGGCTCCTGGCACTGCCAGCCATGAGGCAGCTTCTGGGTGAGTGGTGCTCCCTCTGTGGGAATGCAGTGACCACCAAGGGGCAGCTCCTGCGTTGAGCGTCTGACCCCCAGTGGTTGGTGCGCATCATAGCAACTGGTTGATTTGCATACTAGCCATTTATTATATAGGATAAACAACTTTAGTAATTTAACTCTACACTGGAATCAGCCTGTAAAACACATATATGGAAAGTTCTATATTTTTAAATATGAGAACATGTTCTTTTATTCAAAACCATATACCTAAAATTTTATCCTAACATATATATAAGCTTTAGGAAGTATAAAACAATTTTTAAAGTGAGAAACAGAAATAGAACACCTGATCTGAAATCACTCAACATCCGTAGCATGTTTTGTTTTTTTGAACAAATGAACCTTTTCAATTCAGGGATAAAGAGTTAACATGGTGGTTTAAGCACTCTCTGACTTTGCTTCTCACAGCATAACTAAAGGGGGAGTTGTGCATCTCCAGGCAGTGCCCCGGTATATGGTGGTGGTTAGGAGAGTCATTGGGCTCAGTTGCTTTAAGGATGGGCGACCCTGGATAAGTCATTTTATCGCCCCAAACCACATTTTCCTCATTATCAAATGGTGTAATAACTGTTTACCTTATGGGGGTTGTAGTGATCAATAAGTATAAAGAATTTAACACTTGCGTACGGAAGAATTCGAAGGTTGACTGTGTTAAGTTTTCTGTCAGAAAGAAGTGAAAAGGGCAGTCAGGACATTTAATTTGATCCATTTGGCAGTGGGTACAGGTGGGAAGGAAGCCAGTCGTAATTCCAGTGACTCAGAAAAGGACAGTCTTTTCAGGTCTAAATGCATTTTATCATTTCTCTGCGTGGACCACAATGAGGGACAGTGGAAGCCAGCTCGGGACCAGGCTGTATTCATGTGGGTAGAAACCAGAAACATTTGCAATTCATTAACTTTTTTTTTTAAGTAAATCATTTGTGCGGAGGTAGCAAGCGATCTAAATTCAATCATTTCAGAAGGTATGGGACTGGGGCAGGTAACCATTTAGTCAAACTGGTTCTCAAAAAAAAGGGGGGGGCAACATGAAATAAAAGTAAAGTTAAAAATATCCCCCAATAGCCGCCTCCACTCTTTGCCCACGCTAATTAGAGAGGGCAGGTCTGTGCCTTGAGGAAAGGGTGGGCACTAGGCACGGCTGGCAGCAATGTCAGATATCAAGCGCACACTGGGGGCCAGGCCCGTGCCTCCTTCCCATCCTTCCTTTATAAGAGATGGAACTCGGCCAGCAAAGTAACTTTCCGAGAATGCACAACTGGTATGTGTTAGAGATGGAACTGAAACCCAAGCAATCTGACTTCAAAGCTCCTTCACTCCTCCCTGGAATCAGTAGTTACTAAGCACCTGCCCGTCCCTGGCACCCTGTCCCAGGCCCTGGGAGGGGGATGCTGGGCGGAGAATGAACTGCAGGTGTAGAGCCCACGTTCTTCACCACTCCCTGCAGAAAAATCGACTGAGATGGGTTTGAACATTGATAATTGCATTTCCTTACGTAACTGAAATTAGTCTAAGCTGCCTACGGTAGACTAATGGCACTTGTACGTTCACGGAGAACTTTCCTGAAGCAAAACCCTGCTGCTGGGAGTGGTGGGGGAGGCAGGCTGAGATAGCAATCAGGAGAGCCCGGCGTGGGGCCTCTTTAATCACTTAGCAGGCTGCACAACTGCCTCAGGGACCAAGTCACACTGGGGCTTTGGGGCCACTGTTTCTGGGCAACACCTGTGACACCTCCCCCCACCCCCTCCCCAGCTAAGCCCCAGCCACCGCAGCCTGCTACGGACACATACTCCTCAGACACACGTGGAAGCACGCTCGAGCCCGCCCTACTCAAAAGAAGCCCGGCCTGGTAGCAGCAAGAACAGTAAGCAGGTGGAAAAGCCACACCAGACTATAAACGTTTGGCACCGTCAGAGGCCAAATAACTGGAGAGGAAATATTACGGGAGGAGGACGAGGTCCTGGCGGGGTGCTCCATGCTGTGGGAGTTCACTCAGGACGAGAATTCATGATGGACAGGGAACGCTTTTCCTGGAGTAGAAACTGCCAGCGCCCTCTCTAGCTGAGTGTCCAGGGTGCATGGGGACCTGCCTTTCAATTTCTTCAGTTAATCTCACATGAAGGGCTCTGTCACTGCAAATATTCCTTTTGGAAATGCCAATTACAAGCTTTTCTCCACCTTTCAACGTCAGCTGTAATGAGGGCACGAATGGACAGAAAACGGAAACACGTTCATAACGTTGTCTAAGAACAGACATTACACATGCTTTATATCCTTCCTGTTTGTTTGCCTGGGGAATATATTCTAAGGACAATGGACAAACAAACAAACAAAAAGTAGGGCCAACATCCTCACAATTCCAGGCTTTCTGTTTGGGAATATAATGAAACACTGGGGTAACGTAAATAGCTAGTCCTGCTAGCGGCCAGGAAAACAAACGCTAGCTCTCTTGGATTTCCATTAGGTCCACATGGACTTCAGGTAACCAATGTGTGTTCATCTCACCCATTGGAATAAAATGTAGCAAGTGAAATGATGTACAGGCGGTTATGGTGTTGAAAAGGAGAGCTTGGGGTGTATGGCTCTGACATGCAGTTGGGTGGGGAGAGAAAGGACGTCTGAATTTACCTGACCGTCGGGCAGTCTTGCCTCCCGGCTAGTTGTGAGCACTGTGGCGGTACGGAGGCAGCAGGCTGCTGACAATCTACAAGAAACTGATAAATTAGACATGTATACAAAGAGACGACAGAGCATCATGTTAGTAACTAAAAGCAGTTGCCTGAGAGATTTAGTGAGGAATGTGTATTCACACAGAAACATCTGGATTAAGCTATTTACCCCCTCCCATTCATGCCATTAGAAAAGACAAGACTTTTTTCTTAAATACCGTATTAAAAAATTAGTGACACGAAATTAGTAATGAGATTCCTCAAGCACATTAGGACATATGTGGCCATTCATATTTGGTGCTTGGATATATCTGAAAGTAAAGGGTCCTTTAATATAATGAAAAATCTTCAAGTTCTGAACTGGCCCGTGATGGTAGTGACTTGCTTCGCACTTAGATCTGCTATTCCAAAATGGAACAATTTCAGGTAACTGACTTTATTGTCAAGACAGCTGGGCATAGTATCAACCCCATAGGTACACTGAGAAAAGCACTGAGGAAAGTAATCTTTCCCATTACTAATAGAAGGATATCAGGGAAGAAAATCATCTTTACAGTTTTCTGAAAATAGATTTCTTGTATTTATCACAAGAAATAACTGGTTAGCAGAAATCTTAGAATGTGTAAATTGGTAGTAACTTGGACTGATGGAGAAAACCAATCTGAATGGGAAATCCACTTTTGTTTTATTTTTGCCATTTAAAAGTATATAATGTATAACTCATGCTAGGTTAACAAAGTGCTAGCTAATAGAAGTCCATGCTTTAGCTGATCAGTTACGTTAATCATCTACTCCAAAAAAGATTACTGGGTGTTCTCAAATAATCAAAGAATAGTCTTACTGGTACCAGGCCGACCACACTAGAATTACCAAGGAAGCTGGCTAAAAATACATAGATTATATTTTTTGCAAAAAGATTTGGCAAAAAAGTTAAAATTCAAGTTAGACTTAAAAGTTCAATTATTCTTAAATATTTGCAAAATTTCCTCTTGCTAACTGCTTAGACTATGTGTTTCTTAGCCTGCCTCTTTCCCCATGGTATGTAGATAATATTTAAGATAAATTCTCGAATTACAGCCTTGAATTAATGAGAATGTATTTTAAAAAATCTGTATTCCAAGGCTGTGTCCAAGTATCGCTTGTTCTAAAGCCAGTATATTCTCTATTATACGAAAACCTGACTATAGAACTCCAGACTATCAAAATTCATGAAAGTTGCTGATGCTTAAGATATTGAAAACATACTAAAGCTGTCTGTGATGCAGAGTAGAACACATAGAAGGCAGGCTTGGTTTGAGTTCATTCAGGAGAACATTATTGAAGGGACCCTTTAACAAGGTGGTCTTTGTTGGAGAGTAACTTATTAATTATTGCTTATTAATAGGAATGAGATCTGATTCTTGTTTAGTATCTGATATTCAGATTATACACTCAGTAAAAGTCCTTCAAATGTAACAAATATTTCTGTTTTCTCTGCTGTGAGGGATTCTTTTTGTTTTTAACTCTTTGTTTTCTCATTTTGCAGCTTGATTAGCTCAATGATTCCCTTTTGTAGAAACTCAGAGTCTTACAGGATGAATTCCTTTATCCTCCGTTTATCTTTTCTAAAGGATTTTCTAAGTGATAATTTAGGAACATTTTGGACTAATTTAGATAAGGATTCTGATACAGCCAGGTGTGTGCTGCCCTCCCATGGTGCATTTGGGTAATGCAATGGATGCCGATGAACATGAATCCTTGGAAAACATGCTGGAATCTGGCCTTATGCCTCACATTGCTGGGGAGGTATAAATATAACTTTTTTATAGCAAAGTTTTTGCCTCTGTGAAATGGTAAGCTCTAGAATCTGTGCCAATGCAGTCACATATTATTCATTTGAAATATGTTTTGTGTTAAAAATTGGAAAACCGGTGAGCAGGACTACAAGGCACTACCTAAATGAACTGTTTAATATAAGGTAGATATTCCTTCCATCTCTAGTGAATATCAGTTTTTCCTTCTTTAGAAGTAATATTCTCTGGATAATTATTACTCATTTTTGCATTTATTATTTATATGTATTTAAGGAATAAAAAGTAAATTCCATAAATAAGATGGTGATAGGTGAAAAAAAAAGAAGTTAAGAAAATAGCTGTATTGCTCCAACTCAATTTTCTTCTAAATTCTTCTCAGGCCAGTAGCCTCCAATCATGTCTAACCCCACTAAACAGCCCGTGTGTTAGCATGTACTTGGTAAAATGAAAGGGATGGGTTGGGAGATTGAGAAAATCCCTTCCAGCCCAGAGATGCTGTGGGCTTTACCTGAACTCACCAGCTCGGTCTAAGAGCTGGTAAACTCACTCCTGAAGGAACTAAGCCTCGTCTCATTGTAGAGGGTGTAAAAGGTGAAAATTATGTATCTTAAGGAGGAGGCCTTGCAGAACCACAGCAGTCACTGCTGTTATCTGGGCCACCAAAATTCGCCTCAAGCATGCAACAGTCAAGTTAAACTTCTATTATGTGTCTGAAACTATGTTTGGAGGCAGGGATAAAAGGAAAACAGAGAAGATACAGTCCCTGGTCAATTGAGAAACACAAGCACATTCAACAAGCAATTACAATAAAAGTGTCATGACGGTGATGATGGTGATGATGATGATGACAGCAGCTCACACTTACTGATTGATGGCCATGTACCTGGCACTGTGCAGGCACTGAAATGCAGGCCCTCCTTTAACCCTGTTTTAGTATTCCCAATTTACGGATGAGGAAAGAGGGATTTTGGTTAAGTAACTTGCCAAAGTCCACTAAGAGCTGGGCTGAGATTTGAATCTAGGACTGTATGATTCAAGGGCTGAATTAAACCTATAGACACCTCACTGCCTTACTTCCCATGACAGGGAAGTTAGGGCTCTCAGAGCAGAAACAATGAACTAAATCTAAGTGGCCAGGGAACGCTCCCTGGAGGTTGTGACATCTGTGATGTACACTGAAAACTATGAGTTGGCCAGGAGCTTCTTAGCAACGATTGCATGTTTATGGTCTCTGCTAACAGTAATTAAATATTTTACAAGATTAAAGTGTTTAAAGTGTTCAGAACGGAATTAAATAACACTGTGCATTTATAGTATAAGGTCACAGGCCTGAGAAAGGTCATAGCATACGCAAGAGATTGTTAGTGCCTTAAGGGCAGAGATAAATAAAGGATGTTATTGCGTAAAGCATCTGTGGGTCTGTCTTAATTACACATGAAGAGCATCCTTGTACGACATTCCTCCAAGTAGAAAGGAAGGTAGAAAAGAGAATGAGAACAAAGGAAGGAAATTACCAGCTGAATCAACATGAAGTAGTTTCTCCTGGGAACTTTATACTAGTTATCTGTCTGGAATGAGACAGTCTGGAGTTCTTGTTTTCACTATTCCTACCATGAGGAAAGCAAGTATTTTTTGGTATATGCGACAATATCAAAATCTCATATATCCTGAGACTGTTTTTCTCTTTAACATTTTTCATGATTTTTGCTACTGAAACAAATGCAGAGCTTAGCATCAGAGCAGGTGGTCTACCAACATTCATTGATTAATACAGATCACCATATATATTAACTTGCTCAAGGTCACGCAGCTGGAAAGCAGGGGAGCAAGGATTTGACTTCAGACTTTTCTGATGCTGAGGCCTATTTTCTAGTCACTACTCTAGCTGTCTCTCGAATCGACACCAGCTGCCTCTAGAAAATATCAGGGTCATAGAATCAATGAAACATAAAAACTACACCAGACATAGTAATTTGGAGGCAACCAATTACCTCAAAAACACAAAGCAAGATAAAGGGTGCAGGGATGGGGATGATATCTAGTTTCTCTAGAGAGGTGGCTGAAATCCATGAATTTCATTGGCGAGGGAGAAAAGTCTCATCGTATGTATTCTCTTCAGGCTTCTACTATTTTAAAACTTTTCAATGCAATTTAGAAAACGAATCAAGTTTCTAAAAGCCAATGCCCACTGGTGGCTGTTTGGGTTGGGAGGGAGAGCCTCCGGTGGAAGGAGGCAGGGGACACCTCTGTTTTGGCTCCACACCTGGCTCAGAGGGCAGTGGTGGGAGTTGGTGAGGACAGTGTGGGTGAAGGAGATCTGTGGAGACCACAACAGCTATGATGAGTAGTGGGGCTGCAGAAGGGCGTCCGTGGTGGCCAGATGCTGGGCGAGAGGCAGAACAGCAGCTCTTTGTGGCAAACGGCCTCCTCCAGAATGGCTTGCACCCAACCAACCCCTGGCTTTCCTGACTTGAGAACTAATGCAAGCCTACCATTGCAGGAGATCTTATTTTCCACATCACATCTGCTTCCCTCATGACCATAAACTCCTCTGGGTGCTATGTACTTTCCCATGAAAACTATCTCTGTCCCCTGAGTTTTCCTTAGGCCAAGTTCTTTTTTTAAAAAAAATATATTTTTATTTATTTCAGAGAGGAAGGGAGAGGGTGGGAGAGATAGACACATCCATGATGAGAGAGAATCATTGATTAGCTGCCTCCTGCACACTCCCTACTAGGGATTGAGCCACAACCAAGGCACATGCCCTTGACAAGAATCAAACCTGGGACCCTTGAGTCTGAAGGCAGACGCTCTATCCACTGAGCCAAACAAGTTAAGAATAGGAATGGAACTGTGAACTCCCGGTTCATAGGTCGATGCTCAACCACTGAGACACACCAGCCAGGCAGGCCAAGTTCTTGCAAGGCACGATTTCAACTTCCCTCACTCTCCTCCTTGCTCCCTGACCATGTCCCAGTTTGTGCACTACCTTCTAAAACTGAGGTGTTCAGAAAGGAAATCAGGTATGATAAGATGTGACTGGCGGAGTGGAGTGGCAGAGTCTCGCCTTGTCTGAGACATCCTGCTTCTATGAAAAGAGCAGAAGCCCGTGTGGCATTTTTTTGGCAGCCACATTTCCCTGCTATTTCCCATAAGTCTACTTTATTTACAGATGGTGCTCTCAAGCCATGCTTCCTCTATCGTGAAATTACAGTGTCTGGCACTCCAATGGAATATTTTATGTAATTTTAG